CCCCCCCCCCCCCCTTCCCTTTTCTCCCCAGTTGCTATAGAAATTGCTGTTTGTATTGATTGTGTTTTGTTCCCATTCCTATGAATTTTAGATCAGGGTTTTTTTGCCCTGATACATCAACTTTTTCCTTGTCGTGCTGCAATAGTTTGCTTGACTCAGCTGAGTATCTGGAAGGTCTGGTTTATCAGGAATACCACTAGTGTGATTTTCATCGTGCTGTCAAATGCATGGGGGAAATTGTATTTTTATTGGAATTAATATAGTGCTCTTCAGACAACTGTTCTCATCCCTTCCCCCTCTCCTTTTGGGACTGAGGAAAACCTCTAGAGGGTATTCAGAGAGTGACGGTGTAATCAATCACAGGTGTTGCTACAGGTAAGTATATGCTTTTTATGTTTCTAGGAATGCAGATATTTGAAGGCAACAATGACAAATTCTTTGGATTTTGCCGAAGTCAGCAATTAGGAGAAGCTGAGAACTAGGAGTAGCATACAAGCATTCAGGCAAAAAATAGCCTCACAGATGTTACCCCACATTCTTGTTCAATGTTTTATTACTTTGCTTTGCTGTGTGGATTTGCATGCTACTTAGGACTGAAGGCACTTGACTTAGATCCCTATTAATTGATGTGGTACACAGATCTCATTTTCTGAAGGTCAGGAAAAGACTTTTTTTGATTGTAAATGTGATTGTGAAATTGTTATCATTTTTTGAGCTGAGGTTTTTAGTAGTTGTTGGCACTTCATTTTTCAGCTTTTGTCATTAAGGTTAGTGTTATTGCTATTATTAATAATAATATTTTAATTAACCAACTCTGCTTTCATTTGCTCTGTGGAAAAGAACAAAATATTATTTGGGATCTCATGATTCTTTGTCAACCACAGGTCTGCAGTTTAACAAAGTAACCATGCTTTTGCTAATGTCTCTTTAGAATTAGTATCCTGCTAGTGTGATTATAGTTCTTTGATTAAAAAGAAGCTAAAGCTGAACAGAATTGCTTTTGGTGAAAAGGGAGAAGATAGTCTGAGAAGCCTGGAAACCCACAGTGGGTTAAGCACTCTTTCTGCTTATGCCACTACAGCTGAGGGAAGAATCTGATGAATGCTATGTAAATTTTTGAGTGTTTCCTTTCCTGTTATGTGCTGCTACTGACAGAGAGCCCCACAGATATTAAAGGAAAGGCTATGTCCAGCAGTAGTAGTTAACTGTACACTATTAGTGTAGTTTATTTATCCTTAAAAACAAATGAAGCCTTTTATAAAAATATGCTTACCTAGATTTATTGAATTGACCTAAAACTCAATTGCATCCACATCTTTTGCTGGGGATTTTTTGGAACCTTGTACTTGAAATCTTAGCACAGTAAGAAAAGAATGTGCTTTCCATCCTTATAAAGCACACGTGTACACGTGGATGCATATGAATGTATAACTCCAGTTACTTATACCTCTTCGCACACTAAGAGGTTTGTATTTTAGGGGTTTGCTTCCTTTTCTGTGTTTGGTTATTTAGCTTCAAACCATTAGATACTCTGAGGGCAGGGTATGTCTCTTGGCAGGAGATAATTTAGTAACCCTAAAGAGGCAAAGAATAGAGCAGAGAGGCTCCCAGCCAGCAGGCTTCCAGAGCATGTCATCGGTCTGGTTTTGCCCCTTCTTTCTGTGGGATAGGATTTCATTCTGCCTCATGCAGATGACTTTTAAGATCACAGTTTTAAAAGTAACCAATACCAGTAAAACCTTAATTTTTTTCTTTCACACCAGCATGCACAGCTAGAGGTTTTTTTCAGAAAGTAAAGAAACTGTAGTCCCAGCTATGCTGCCTGGGGACACTCACTGATTTGACTCTGACACATTTTTCAGCAGTAAAAAATACCAGGGTTTTTTTTCTGGTGAATACCAATTCTAGACCTTTTGGTGTTTGGAGGGAAAGGATAATATCATGAACTGAAATTATGTGATGATCATATCAGACAGGTCAGGTAAAAATCTGTGACCAGCTCAGATACAGAGAAATCTGTCAGGATCTCAAGATGTCCGTGCATCCTCACAGTTGCACAGCCTAAAGAGCACTCAGAAAGGGGACCACTTGCTACTTTTTATAAGGAAAATGCACAGCACTCTGCAATGTGAGCACCCCCACCCTCCTATTCAAATTATGTATAGTTTATAGGTCTTGCAGACCTGTGGCTGCTCTAGCACATCCAAATGTCCTATGTGGCTCCTGTGACCTGAGCAACTATTGCATTTGTTGGAACCATGTACAAAGACTAGGATTCAGTCCCTATGGCATAAGCAGCTCAGTTGGATACCCTGATTTAATACTGAAATATCCTCCAAATCCAGTTATGAGTCCTGGATTCTAGTCATTGTCTCACTCTACATTTTCATTGTTCTACTACTCTAGGAGAAGGAAAAATTTATTCTGAAAATGAGGGAAATCCTTCAAAGACCACCAGCTAAAGTCATGACTATGAGAATATTGAAAGAGATAGACATGAAACTGAAGGAAGAGATGAAAGCAGGTACTGAGTCATATGATATCTTGGAAAGAAGGTAATGTAATCTGGAGAGAAGTTGGTGAAGGAATTTGGCGATGCAGATGGGCTTACTGAAGTAGGGGTAAAAGGAGTTGGTGTGGATGCAGCATTTGATGAGGTAAAAAATAAGAAGTGAGGAGCTCAAAGAGAAGCAGGAAGCTATAGTAATAAGATGGACATGGGTGATGCTTGAACCATTGGGCTGAAAAGAATGAATATATTTAATGCTAATTTAGTAGCAAAATAGAAAACAACGAGAGAGGTCTATGAAAGCACCAATACTGAAAGGCTGGGTGACAGAATAACAGAAACTGTGTTGCAAATAAAGTGGTGAAACTGTACGTGAGTGAAGAATGAGATATTCAGGACAGGATGCCAGAGAGGCAATTAGACATGGTGGACTGAACCGAGAGGGAGAGGTCAAGTGAAGAGAGAAATGAGTCACCTCCAGGAAGACAGGAGCAATCAGGGCTGAGCTCTGAAGGCTGAGGCTGCAAGAGAGGTGTTGGGAGAAGCGGAATGGTGAAGAGTTGCAAAAGTCCCAAGAAAAAGCATACAAGAATTGAGGAGACAACACAAGTTGTTCTACAGTCATGAAGAGGAATGAAAATGCTTTCTGAATGTAAATGTGGAGAAGTGACTGATAACCCAGTAGAGCAGAAGGAGCTAGAACTGTAAGAGATCAAGATGCACTGCAATGCTAAGCATCTCCTGGGATGTACAGAGCATTTCTCAGTGTGTTGATTTTGGTGGTCCCTGTGAGGGATGCGATAGTGCTGGGTCATAGCAGATGACATGACTGATGAACAGCAGTGATCAGAGAAACAAGTAAAGGAAGAGGCTTGGCTGGTTTTTTTATTTATTTTATACTGAAAACTGACTGAAAATCTCAGTGTCCTTCTGAATTCTGAGCCTGGCTCTGGAACATGCTTCAGACACACCTCTACCTCACTGTGGCTAGAAAGAACTATAGAGACTTCAAAGACATCCAGAGATGACCTAACAGAAAGAGTGAGTGGAACAACCAAAGTGGGATACTTTTGATTTTTATGTAGAGGATCTGACAAGAAAACTTAAGTGCAAAGCAGTTAACTTAAGAGTGTATTGGAAGAGAAGGAATTCACATAGTAAAGTGGTTTTTTATCACTGACAAATGAGGGTTCTCAGCTCAAGGGTTCTCTGCAGAGTATCTCTGAACAACTTCAGGCATGTCCATCATGTATCACTCTGTACCCAAGCTCTTTGTCTGTAAAACTGAGATAGTGGGGTTTCCTTCCACTTGCCTGCTGGTCTGTAAATAGATTATGAGTCCTTCAGTGGAGAGGAGAAGGAAAGGACTGTCTCTTGACATTTGCATTCCTAGTGCCAAGGACTGTGGGGCTCGGGCAAGGTTTTTAGGGCCTTTAGGTTCAAGTGTAGTGGAAGTACAAATAATATTAAGAATGAACATTCCTGAAAGGTTTCACTCAGAGCTGATATTCAGTCTATTTATTATGTGCTCCTATACTTCATGGTTTTGCTATTTAAGCAGAAATTATTCTAAGATCTTACGTATGCATGAAAATCAATGTGGATTGAGATACTGTTGCTGTGGGAATTCCAACACTTGTTTTTCTGCTGCTGCCCATCTTCTAGAGCTTCCAGATAAATATCTTTTCCAAATAGAAAAGGGAAGGGTTGTGTTTGGGGGCTTGTGCTTGTGTGTGTGTGTGTGTGTGTGTGTGTATATGCATGTATGATTCTCGCCTGGAACTGAAGACTTTTTTCTTTTAGCTGGGAACTTTGAGAACATTTACTTTAGCATCACTTAAGAGATTGTCTCTGAGGTGATTTTATTGCTTCCCACAAAAGTAATTACTAAATTAAATAGTTATCTTCTAGACAAACTGTAAGTCCTGCAAGAGCTGTGTACAGAAATAAGTTTTACTTCACCAATTCTCACATTATTTCAGATGGTAACTGCTCTTCCATTACCATCTGCAGAGTGAGCACAGTATGTTGCTATGAGGCATTGCAATCTTTTACAGTGATACCTCTCAAAAATTGAAAAATATTTTGGAGTGAAAAAATTAGACTACATAGAATGGAAAAGTAGGTAAAGAAACAGTGTACCTGATCCTGTTGTGAGGCATGGGAAGCTGAAAAACATGTTTGAGGTTTAAACAGCTGATACAATTATGCAATGTGTGTCTTTAGTCCCCGAGGGATAGTTACCATAAAGAGAGAGGCAAATGGGGTAAAAGACACAGGCTTTCATTGCAGAGTGAAATATGTCTCCTTTGCAGAACAGATCATAGAATCAAATTGGTCTGTTTTTGTCCATTGAACTCTGTAGTATTTGATTTGTGTGAATATGATACTATGCTGGAGAAAGTTGATTAAATCAAGCAAAGATGCTCCATGTCCCAACAGGTTGCTGGTGAGCTGTGTGGCCCACTTTGCTTCCACTAGCATCACTTTCTGCTCTGGAAGATACAAGCCCTTGGTGTTTTGCAGGCTGAGAATAAATGTGCCTTCTAGGAGGAAGGTGTGATGCCTACTCATGATAACTTCCAGATGGCAAAATCCCAAGGCAGGCAGGACATGTTCCTTTACCTCTTTTTTTTCCGAAGAGCAGAGGGGGTAAAGTCCCAGTTCTCTACTCCGGTCACTTTGTCTTGCACATTGGGGACTAACAAAAACTCATCAGTTACCTGTAGGTTTGAGCTCAGAGACTAGCAGGGGTCTGTTAGTGCTGCTGTGGATGGGCACAGCCTGCAGGCAGGGAGGAGAGTGGGGAGGAAGAGGAACAAAAAGGTCCATTTAGGCTGTAAGAGACCATCCCACTGGCTTACAC